CTAGTTTTAAGTGTACACTTCAGTGTTACAGTCCCCCCTTATCTGCAGGGGATACGCTCCAAGACCCTCAGTGGGTGCCTGGAGTCACAGACAGACAGTACTGAGACCTAAAGACACTATGTTTCTCCTATGCATACATACCTATAACATTTAATTTATAAATTAGGAACAGCAAGAGGTTAGCAATAACTAGCAATAAAACAGAACAATCATAACAGTAAACTGTAATAAAAGTTATGTGAATGTGGTCTCTCTCTCTCAATATCTATTGTATTGTATTCATCTTTTCGTTTCAAACTTCAAAGGAAGGACTTTATGCTTCTCTCTGGCATATATGAATTGCCAGCATCCGTACTCTTGTACTTGGGGGCCATTATTAAGTGAAGTAACAACCAGCAAAGAGAATGTCGATCCCCACTACCTGGAGGACAGGATCCTATTGCACACCTGGCCCCTGAAGCTATGTGTAAGCCGCTCCAGGGACAGGTGCACGCCGCCTCCCAGGGGCTCCGGGTAAGGGACCGGCAGCCACCACTGAGCTAAGAGCTGCAACTGACCAAAACTCACTGCCATTTACCATTCAAGTCTTCCCCTGGGACTTGCAAGCCTTCGATAGACTCCAAAGGTCCAAATGGTTATATTAGACACAGCCTGGCAGTGCAGGTGTCATGTGGGGAGACAGATTCCTGGTACTTCCTACACTCTGCCACCTTCCTAGAATCCCTTCCCCAAAGCTGGACTTTGTACTCAACTTGATCACCAGTGGATTTTTCGAGCCCCTTTTCTCCTTTTTCCAGTGGCTGCTGTTTGCTTTCTCGGTGGAAATTCACTCTTCCCCTGGTTTCTACAGCGCCATTTTACTTCAATTCTACTCCAATCCTAGGACTTGTCTCGGCTCCTCTCTGTCTCTTGACCCCCAACTCCAAGGCATCCTGGGCCTCTGTTCTCTCCACACTGTCCCGTGACTTCATCCAGTTTCTCCGCAGCTGGTCCTCTCCAAGGCTGGCCACCACCGTCCTTCCCTGTCCACACGTGCGTGTGCTCACCCAGAGGATTTCTTCTTTGCTTGCAAATCCGTTTCGCTGGCACTGGTCTTGGGCCATCTGCCAGTTTCCCTGGGATCTTCCAGGATCTTATCAAAAGAAAGTTATTAAATTTCAGACTTACCTGAAATTGACTTTCACATATAAGTTCTCAAACAAAAGATATGTTTTGACGGTAAGTTTGAAAGATTATTTGAAAAGTTCACTTGGGGCTATCTGATGCTATGAATAACTCATCCTGGAATGGCTCATCTTCAAGGTGATTAGACATCTCTTCAGTGAAGTTACCTTTTAAGAAAGACATGTGAGCCCTAGCCAGTTTGGCTCAATGGGTAGAGCATCGGCCTGCAGACCAAAGGGTCTCAGGTTCAATTCCGGTTAAGAACATACACCTCGGTTGCAGGCTCCTCCCCAGTTCAGGCCCTAGTCGAGTGCAAGAAGCAACCAATCAATGTGTTTCTCTCACAACGATATTTCTCTCTGTCTTCCCCTCTGTCTTCCACTCTCTCTAAAATTCAATGGAAAAACAGTCTTGGGTGAGGATTAAAAAAAAAGAAAGAAAACCATGTGAAACCCAGTGGGATACTCCAGAGAAAACCATCATAACTTTCATCTAATATAGTAAACACCTCATTAAAAGTGCCAGTTAGCCCTGGATGGTTTAGCTCGGTGGATAGAGTGTCAGCCTGCAGACTGAGAAGGGTCCTGGGTTTGATTCTGGTCAAGGGCACGTGCATGGGTTGTGGGCTTGATCCCCAGTGGGGGACATGCAGAAGGCAGTCAATCAGTGATTTTCTTTCATCATTGATGTTTCTATCACTCTTTCCCTCTTTCTTCCTCTCTGAAATATATATTGATATATATATATTATTATAAAGTGCCAGTTAGCCTCCTGTCACCCTTCTGCCCTGGCTTATTCCCCATCCCTACTCTAAGTTTCACTATTTACAAACACCGGGCTGTTCATCAATTTGCAAATAGTTCAGAGTGGAGGTTGCAAAGTAAGGCAACAAGTCAGACAATCCATTTGTTTCGCAGCCATAGCAACTGGAACGGAAGCCTGAAGAACCAATCAGACAAATCCAGGCTGTTAGGCATTCTTCAAAACCAGGACACGAAACTCTTCAGAAGTCAAAATCATTATCGGTCCCCAACTGGGCTCGTGACCACCTGTGGGGACCGGGGACGGAACAAACCACTTCCTCGAGGAGCCACACGGACCGGGTGGCCCCAAGAGACCTGGTGAGGGCTGAGGAGTCCCAGAACGCGCTCCTGGCTGGGGCAGTGAAATCCTCCGCCACAGGTTTTAGCCTGAGCTGGCACGGCGCGGTCTGAGGTCGGCGACACGTGTGCCATGTGTTCATGATGACATACGGTCCCCACCCCGAGGGGGATGCAGTTCTGAGTGACACCTCAGGCCCCAGCACCAACTTCCTGGAAACAGGGAAGCCCTAAAGGATACGCTGCCCATTCACCTCCATGGAAACAAAGGTGCCCCCCACCCCCACCCCATCGATCAAGGAAAACCTCCCGGAAAAGGTTAATCTTCTGATTCTGAGGGAGGAGTCACCCAGAGCCAGGAGTCTGCCAGACCCACTGCTTCGCGCTGGAAGGGGACTCGGAGAGTCGACCACATCAGGGCCTCCTACTGTTGTCAAGGCAACCAGAGCTCCCAGCTCTCACAAGGGGCGTCTCCAGGCACTCACTTGCCCCCCGATTCTTTTTGTTTTAAGCCATTCTTTGAAAACAAAAACCATAAAAATATATATTCCTATTCCTATCACCCTCATGGTTTCTCTTAGTTTAATCCTTTGTTAGACATCTAATCCTCCATGTAATTAAAATGCCAAGGTAGCAAGAACTTGAAGCAATAATACCTTTCCCTTTGTAATGATACAAATCACGAAAATCATACGAATCATGAAAGGAAATTCATGCAGGAATGGTCCAAACAGCTTGTGTATTTTGGATGACAAGAGTACGATTCCCAAACCAGGATAACAACACGGGGTGGGGGGGAGGAGACTCAGCAAAGACCAGCAAAAGTGCAGGCAAACCAACCGCTGGTGGAAAGAAATACTTGCAAGACACCCCGGGAACTTTGCAACATGACTACCATTCTGTGATGTTATATGGTATGATCATTAATTGCTTTAGCTTAATAACATTGTGACGAAGGAAGGAAAAGAGGGAGGGAAGAAAGGAGGGAGGGAAGGGGAGTGAAGAAGGGGGAGGGAGGGAGGAGGGAGAGAGGAAGGGAGGGGATCCCAACAGCACTGGGAACAACACACAGGCCCATCAACATGCCAGAAATGTCAAGGAATTTTGGCAGATGGGACTAGATTGAAGAAAAATACCATAAGCCAAACAGCATCTCCCCTTCTTAAGAACAGGTTGGGTTGTTGGAAAGAACAGCTCTGGAACCCCTGTGCCAAAGGGCAAGGTGCAGAGGACACAGCGGGCTCTGGGCAGACGGAGAGCCCACGACCTGGACATCCCTGGCTGTAGGGACTCAGTAGCACTTCAAGTAGTCACAGTCCGGGGATCTGTGATGCCACCACTCACTTCCGGGTAAAGAGCAAACCAAAGAGAATGATGCACCAGGAAAAGGGATTCCCCGAACCCAGTGAAAATAAGTGCAGAGACGACAACATGCTGAGGATAAATGGATAGAGCCCACTTAGGAAACGGGGGAAACCCACCAGGGTCTGCAAAAAAGATTTGGAAACAAACAAGGAGAACACGGCATCCAAACTCATGAAAAGGATTATGAGCCCGGCCAGTATGGCTCAGTGGTTGAGCATCAACCTATGAACCAGGAGGGTCATGGTTCGATTCCCGGTCAGGACACATGCCTGGGTTGCAAGCTCGATCCCCAATATGGGGTGTGCAGGAGGCAACAGATCAATGATACTCTCTCGTCATTGATGATTTTCTCTCTCTCTCTCCCCCTCTCCCTTCCTCTTTGAAATCAATGGAAATAGTTTTTTAGAAAAGTATCCACATGGCAGTAGAAAGATCACTGAATTACAAAGAAACAAGTGGGGCTGGCCTCAGACTTCTCCATCAAATCTATACATGTGATTAAATTACAGAACAACTACTACAGCCACACATACACACGTATACACACACACACACACACACACACGTACACAATGCTTACATAAAACAACTGTGAAAGCTGAACAAGGTTTGCACTTCAGTTAACAGTACTGCACGGGGTCGATGTCTTGGTTTTGACATTAGTCTGAAGTTCTGTAAAATGTTATCACTGAGGGAAGCTGGGAAAGGGTACATGTCTCTGTACCGTCTTGGCAACTTCCTGTGACTCGATAATTTATTTGTGACAGAATAGTAACAGGTTCTTGTAAACCTCAATTCCAAACTTGGAACGAAAGGTAAATAAATCAACTTAACACCTAATCACCTAAAAGGACCGGACGGGTGGATGCTTAATCACTTCCACATCGATCCCAGCAGTCGTGTTCAGCTATCGCTGAGAACAGCAGAATCCCCGCGCCGAGCTGCCACCACACAACCCGGCCGACTGAAGCTTAAGGAAGACGTTAACGCTCTTAGCTTAATCTCACAGAAAACGACTTCTTTGCAGACAAATTACCCACTTGGGATACTTTTCATTTGTGGAGACCTGCTCTGCCTCCCTCCCTTCCCTTCTCCCAACCCAAAGAGGCAGCATGTGAAGCAACTGTCATGGTCCCCATGCAATTGGGACCTTCAGGACAGCGAAGACCTTCCAGCGCAGCCGGCGAGGCTCAGTGGTTGAGCATCATGGACCCATGAACCAGGCCATGGTTCGATTCCCAGTCAGGGCAGCCAATCGATGGTTCTCTCTCGTGACTGATATTTCTCTCCCTCTCCCTTCCTCTCTGAAACCAATAAAAACATATTTTAAAAATAAATACACAAAGACCTTCCGTAAGAGGGCCCACTTACCCTGTCCCAGCTGAAACACAGGCCCAGGCGGTCCAGCTGCTTCCGCATGTACTTAATGTTGCTGTGAAATAGAGGGAAGGAGGTTTGGGCTTAGAGAGGGAAAGCCGTAAACAAACTAGACTTTGAGAATGGGGAGGGAAAGGGGAAAGCCTAGATTTATTGCAAAGGGCTCTACATGTCGTTTTGCCCAGGGCTCCAAAATATCACTAAGTGCCCTAACCAGTTAGGCTCAGTGGGTAGAGCACCGGCCTGCGGACTGAAGGGTCCCAGGTTCAATTCCGGTCAAGGCATGTACCTTGATTGCAGGCACAATCCCACTGTGGGGTGTGTAGGAGGCAGCTGATCGATGTTCTCTCTCAGTGATGTTTCTGGCTCTCTACTCCTCTCCCTTCCTCTCTGTAAAAGATCAATAAGATATCATTAAAAAAATATATATATCACTAAGGATCGATGAAAATGCCAGCATGTTGGAAGATACTGACTCTTTGGACTCACACAGGATCTACTAGAAACCACAAAGGCCTTTGGCCCTGGGATGGGCCCTTGCTCTGGCCACTCAGGTGGGCAACCCCTTTTCTGTGGGCACTTCTGGCCCATCCACCTGGGGCGGGCAAAAATGGTATGAAAAACACAGAGTTTACTCTTGCATTACTAATTATTAATTATTGTATTATTTTCCATACAGACACTGTAAACCTACTTTTGCCCCACCCTGTATGTCTGTAGTCTGCACGGAGTTAAGCCAGGCAATTGGCATAAAATCCGCTGAAGAGAAAAAAAACCTTAACATATAAACTGTGGGAATCCCCGTACATGGGTGTTTGAATGTCTATAAGAACACCTTTTGAGCCCTAACCAGTTTGGCTCAGTGGATAAAGCGACAGCCTGCGGACTCAAAGGTCCCAGGTTCGATTCTGGTCAAGGGCATGTACCTTGGTTGCAGGCACATACCCAGTAGGGGGTGTGCAGGAGGCAGCTGATTGATGTTTCTTTCTCATCGATATTTCTAACTCTCTTTCTCTATAAAAAATCAATGAAAGATATTTTAAAAAACAACAACAAAAAACACCACACACCTTTGTGTCCAACTGTCTGGATGCAGATTCCTCTCGATGGCGGCGTTCTCGGCAGGCAGTCCGAACGCATCCCACCCCATGGGGTTGATGACCTAGGACCAGAAGGGAAGCGTCAGGCATGGCGGACGGTGAAGACCTAGATCAGTGTCCCCTCTGGGTGATGAGCAGGCATTCTCTTCTACTGACATGCCTATCCCTTCCTGGTTGAGTTCAAAATGTGCTCTGGGAAGCCCGCCAGCCACCTCTGACATAGCGAGGATTCAGCAGGTTACACACCGAGGCATGTATGGGAGGTGACTCTGCGTCAGTGTTTCATTACTGCATCTCAGGGTTGTTGGCCAGGATAATCTCTCTCTCTCTCTCTCTCTCTCTCTCTCTCCTCTCTCCTCTCTCCTCTCTCCTCTCTCCTCTCTCCTCTCTCTCCTCTCTCTCTCTCTCTCTCTCTTCCACTCTCTCTGAAAAGTAATGAAAAATACATCCTCAGGTGAGGATTAACAAAAAAAAGAAAAAGTCCTAGCAGCTGAAACCAGCAAATCTAGAAAACAAACTTCCAGAGCGTGAAAAATCATCTCTAGCTCTTCTAACCAATGCTCTAAGAATTTAAAACTGAGCGAGAAGCCAAGCGGACAGCACAGCAAGCCAGAAGTTGAGAAGAGCAGGCGGCTGCCACTGCCTCTGGCCGGAAGGCTGGAGGGGGAGCAGAGTTATCGGAGCTCAAAGGCCCAGAGCAGCCGCAGCAGCTGACATAGGCAGGTCTGCCCCGACGGAACTGGACTAATGACGGAGGCACTACCCGGGCCAGAAAGCAATTCCCTGGCTTCTCCTTTCCTCCAGCCCCTCCTAAGGCCAGAATTTCTTATTGCCTGAAACCGGCCAGAAGCCAGCTGACACCAGAGCCTGGTAAAGCATGGCCTTAAGGGGTCTGCCCTTCTGCCATTCAAATCAAAGCAAAGGAGGGTCTGACAGTAAACTGGCCAAGGACCAGCACAGGAACACCAGGACTGCGCAGTCTCCCAGGACTTGAGAGACATCCAAGAGGAATCGAACCAGTTACCGATGAAGGGCAAACACAGGGACGGAGCCCTGGCAGGTCAGACCAGAGCTGGCCAGGAGAGGAGGCCTGGGAGCGGGTCTAGGCCAGCCTCTGGTGTGGACATAGTCACATGATCGTGGCTTACCCTCCTGCCTCCCTCCAGGCAGAGCCACCAGCATCTCAGGGTTGTCGGCCAAGATGGACAGCAAGGTGGCCAGGAGAAGGGACACAGGAGACAGCACAGCTACACATGACAATGTAAGACAAGGCTCTGGAGAGACGGACTGGAAAGCATCAGGGATTACTGCCCAGAAGGCCTGGTGAGGCAGGGAGTGGCCAAAGGAGACGGCGGTCTTTTACATGCATATGTATTTTCACAGGGGAATATGGACTCTATGCTCAATTTTAAAATACTTTTCTTTCAACAGGAAAAAAAACAACAACAATCAAAAGTACAGTTCTTGCGTGGTCAGGGTGGCTCAGTTGTTGAGCATAGGCCATCTTTCCCTGTCATCGTAAAACAACACTTGAGATCGGAAACCAACTCGGCTTCTAATTGACAGCAACCATGGTTCCTGCTTCTCAAAACACTGCTATTTTCAGAGAGTGCCACGGTTTCTCTGGAGTAGGTGCAATCGTTTATTTCTAAGAAATTCGAAACACAATATTTCCTTTTGTTTAGCAAATGTAATAACCCACTGGATTATAGACTGGGGATCAAATTCAGGCCAATACTTCAGGGCAAAGAGCATCTGAGTGACAGCACGGAGGCCCAAGCAGGAGACCTCCCCTGAGGAAGTAAGGAATGTGATAGGCCAAGATCTGCCAGTTCCCGGTCAAGACCCTGGACCAGCAATTCATTCTCTCCCTCAAATTGTATCTGACAGGATAAGCTCTATTTCCAGACATTGCAGAGATGTGCACATTTGAAAACTCAGGGCCTAGTTGTGTGCAGAGGGACAAACTGGAAACGGATGAAACACACACTGAGTGGCCAGATTGTTAGATCTCTGAATGCATAATAAGGCCACTCTGTGTGTGTGTGTGTGTGTGTGTGTGTGTGTGTGTGTGTGTGTTAGAGGCCTGGTGCATGAATTCATGCATGGGTGAGGTACGGCCAGCCTGGCCAGGAGGAGGGGACATGGGTGGTTGGCTGGCCTGCCTGTACTCCTGGTTGAGGGGACAATTTGCATATTAGCCTTTTATTATATAGGATATACACTGAGTGGCCAGATTATTATATGTTCAGAGATTATAATAATCTGGCCACTCAGTATATATTATGATTCACGTGCTAAGACCTCCCCTCACTTCCTGATATTCGCAGGGGACTACATCTGGTCACACAGCTACCAGACACCTCCATGTCTTTCTTCTTCCTCAGGGAACAGCATAAAGGCCGGAACAGAAAACTCGGCTGAGGCAGCGCCTGGAGGCTTTCTGCCTGAGACAAATTAGCCCAAGTCTGTGAGGAGACTTGGCCATGTTGATGCTAATCAGCCGATGCTTTCATCTGGCCCAGAAGGTGCTGGGGAGACCAGCCGAGGTGGGAGGAGGGTAATTTTATTTTCCAACCATCTGTGCATACAACAGATGAAAACACAACAAAATCACCATATGGAGCTGAGCTGTAAATGTGCCATCAGACACTGCGGGTTTATGGAGACGGACGGAGGAGCAGCCCTCCTTGCCGATTCCTGAATGAGGGTGATTGATCTCTGGCTTAAAGCAGCCCCTGCTCCACAGCCACCCCTCAGCACCACCTATTAGTGCTCCCACTCATTGGGTTCCACGGGAAAACTGCACTGGAGTTTTTAAAGGGTTTTCTCATTGATTACCTCACAGGAGCTTTGCAACCAATCTGAGGTGGGAGGCGGTCAGCCACTAAATAGCCCCTAATTCCGGATCGATTCGTCACCTCAAGCCCCCGAGCTTTCATTTGTCAAGGCCACATGTGATCTACTTGTGTGTCCACAGTCTGGCCAGCTGTTTGTGACTTCAGTTTCCACAAGGGAACAGTGACACTCTAGCCCAGTGGTCGGCAAACTCACTAGTCAACAGAGCCAAATATCAACAGGACAACGATTGACATTTCTTTTGAGAGCCAAATTTTTAAAACTTAAACTTCTTCTACTGCCACTTCTTCAAAATAGACTCGCCCAGACCATGGTATTTTGTGGAAGAGCCATACTTACAAGGCCAAAGAGCCTCACGTGGCTTGCAAGCTGCAGTTTGCCAACCACAGCCCTAGCCAATTTGGCTCAGTGGACAGAGCGTCGGCCGGCAGACTAAAAGGTCCTGGGTTCGATTCCGGTCAAGGGCATGTACCTCAGTTGCAGGCTTAATCCCTGGCCCTGGTGGGGGTATGTGCAGGAGGCAACCAACTGATGTTTCTCTCTCATATCGATGTTTCTCTCTGTCTTTCCCCCCTCCTTTCCACTCTCTAAAAATGAATGGAAAAATATTCTCAGATGAAGATTAGTAAAAAAAACAAAAACAAACAGAACAGTGGCAGTCCTAGCTTTTGGGCACATCTCCAGGAACTACAAGAGCACAGGGACCACAGTGATCAGTTACACTCTTGATTCAACTCTCCTTTGCACAACTTACTTGCTACTATAGAAAGAAACCAAAGTAAAAGCAAACTTGAACTTTCCAATCATCGTTTTCGCCCATTCTCAATCTCCAAGTACAACCTGTGGTCTGGACGGCTCAAAGGCAAGGGGGATGAATCAAAAATCCTGACTATACAAAGAAGTCATACGGAGCCATAAGAAAAAGACACCCACATTGGCAAAGAATGCGAACAAGCCAATCAAAGAAGAGGAAAGTTAAATAGACCTGAAAGTATCTCAGCTTCACCAGGACGGCACTCAGGAAAATGGAAATTAAAAGCACAATCAGATGGTATCATTTGCTGTATACCAAATCAGCAAGACTAGAAAATCCAACATTACTACGTGATGGCAAGGATGAGAGTTAGTGAGAAATGTCATTCGCTGTCATTCACTGCTGGCAGATTTCATCGGCACCAACACTTCAGACAGCGATTGGACAAGGTGACCCAGCACGATAAACATTCTCAGCAAGCTAGGAATAAGGGGGGACTTCCTCTCCCTGGTAGAGACGCAAAGACAAAGTGGAGCAGAACAAACGTGTGGAGTACACTGGGAGGAAGAAGCCAAGATGCAGCAGAGAGACCTGGAGAGGGGGGTCTCACGCCAAGAGAGCCCAGTTTCCAGGAGGCGGGGATGGTAAGGCATTTCATGGACAGAGTCACGCCCACAGAGGTCCCCGGTGACCCTGGACGGAGCAGACTTGGTGCACGGGTCACTCCCGTATGTTTTACTTCCCATAATGCTGTTCTTAGTGTGCCTGAACAAAACAAATCAACCAACAAATGAACAAGTTACAGAGAAAGGCAGAGCTTGCTGAATTTTCCTTGGGCCTACTGACTAATTTGAACCCAAGCTCCATACGGTTGAGTACTGAACAATGTGGATTTGAACTGCGAAGGTCCACTTATACACAGACTGTTTTTTCCCCTCAATAAATATACAGTCAGCCTCCACCCCATATTCCTGGGTTCTGCATCTACGGATTCAAACCAATTGCAACGCAGAGGGCTGACTAGGATTTATTGAAGGGACTTGAGCATCTGAGGGTTTCAGTATCGATGGGGGTCCTGGGACCAATCCTCTACACATGCCGAGGGAGGATTGTAGTTTAGTTTTGGGGAGGCTTAACAGCTATGCTGTGATTTTCAACCGCAGTGGGCACGTGGGGTAGGCCCTAATTCCATGTTGTTCAAGAGTTTGTATTTAATGCAGCAGAAAGCCCAGTGTTTAGAATAAAGCTGGTATTAATGACTATTTATTGAAAGAATTAATCAATACATGTGTCAGACCCAATTATTCTAGGTTAGATATTCCTTCCCTCCTTAGCGTGAGGATCATTGAACTTGACCTGAAACCAATCGCGCGCGCATGCGCGCACGCGCTCATTCTCTCTCTCTCTCCCCTCTCTCTCTCTCTCTCTCTCTCTCTCTCTCTCTCTCTCTCGACTTGACATTGGGAAAGAAGGATTTTAAAACAACAGGAAACTCAACAGGCTTTCACACTGTTGGCAAATTTTTTTTTTTTTACACTGAGATTTCTGTTTCTCTTTTGCCATATCACTTAAAAATGGCAGGACAAATTTTCACCAAATCTGGCAGTAACATGATATGACTTAAATATGAGCTCTGAAAATTAACAAGAAATTAATTTCAGGGAAACCTGGCGGATGGATAACCCCCAAAAGAGAGCTTACCATCTGAAATGGAAGAACAAAAAGAACCCTAGGCGCCTGCTGATCACACAGACCAAGACACCGTAAACCACATGACAAACAGTGGTTTCAGGCCCCGACCCAGCCGTAGGGTAACCCAGAATAAACCAGATCCGGATAAATAATTATCACAGCTGCCACAAGGGATGAATATGTGCCAGACACATGCACTAACTCATTTAACCTGCACAACCACCCCCTGTGGGAGGAACCACTGTTACCCGTGTTGCAAAGATGCGGGAAGTGGGATTCGGAGACATGAAATGACTTGTGCAGGGTCACTCAGCCGGAAAGTGGGGGGACGAGGTTCAAACCTGGGAGTCCAACTCCTGAGCCAGCCTGACCTTGGGTCTCTGTTTTGTCTTCTGGGCCTGAGCTGCCTACCTGGGTCCTGGGACCTCTAGGCCTGGGGCCCTGCCTGGAGCTTTCTCTGTCTCCTCCATCCAAGGAATTAGAGTCCCACCTACACCCTCCCCTACCTGCTAACGGCTTCCCTTTCTTTACCATAAATGTTCAGTTTTGCTACAGTAGCTTCATCTTCAACAATTTGCCTGCATTTGCTAACTGTCTAAAATAACTTCGGTAAGTTAAAAAAAAAAAAAAAATCTAGCTGAAGAATCACAGTTAAATAGAGTTATTCTTCAGGCAGTGGGCCAATTCATTCCACACCGCCTCTTTCTAATAAACACAGCGGGAAGATGGAGAGCCGTGTCTGGGGGAGGCGGCATCTGGCATAAAGCAGGGAGACAAACACCTGTGGCCGGCTCCACACACGACACAAATCTCTGCGCTGGACAGGATGACGTGCTTAACTCTTCCGGTGACAAAGAGGCGCTGTAGGCTGACTTCCTTTTTAGGAATCCTTCTTGCTGCCAGTGTCAGGTCGGCATAAATTTCCAAACCAACTGTGACAAGGGTGCACTCATCTTTCTAAGAGAAAATCTTTACGCAGGACTGGGGGGCGGCGGGCCTCATTTGTTCAGGCCCGGCCGGTGAGTCCCAGCCGGCGGGGGAGCCGGTTACGGTGGTAAACACAAGATGGGCAAAGGTGCACAGCGGGCGGGCTCTCGGGCGCTGCTATGAGCCCATTCCAGCCGCCATAGGCAGCGCGATGTTTACCGTTACTGCCCGGTGCCAGGTATGTGCCAGGTGCTTCACCGCCACCCTCTTTGAATCCTTGTAACCATGCCAACGGGCAGGTGCTAGGTGATCTCCACTTTACAAATGAGAGAACACCGGGTCCCAGAGAAGGTAATTAAATGACTGGTCAAAGGTCCATGCTCGGAAGTGATCAGAGCTGGCCTTCGAGTCCTGGCCATCTGGCTCAGAGGTCCTTGCTCGCAGCCCTCCGTCCATCCCGCCTCTCTGTAAGTACCGTATTTTTCGGACCATAAGATGCACTTTTTTCCCCCCAGAAGTGGGGGGAAAAAGTCCCTGCGTCTTATGGTCCAAATATAGCCTACACATATACTTTAAAAAAAAAGTTTTTTTACTTGCCCAGCTCTGTGTGGTCTCTGTGTGCTTGCCCGGCTCTAAAATGGTTCTAAATGCTGCTGTTTATTTTACAGGGTTGATTACATGTGTTTATGACTGTGATGTTGGGTTTTAATGCACATAAAATATTTTAGGACACTATTTGTTTCAGAATCTTTTTTTCTTCATTTCCCTTCTCTAAAAACTGGTGCGTCTTATGGTCCAAAAAATACAGTAGTTAACCAAGGTGCTACGATGATTCCCACCTCATGTCAGCAAAGAGCAAGAGCAGGCTCTGGGCTGCCTGGCAGTGGTGAGAAGGGGACTGACCCACAGCAGCCAACAAGTTTCTTCCTTCTCCTCCTCTTCCTCTCTCCCGGCAAACTTCACAGCATCCCCCAGATCTGTCAGATGGTCCCTCTGTAGTGGAGCCCCTCCCAACCCCTGCAGAGCTGGGTTTTCCTTACAAAAACTTATCCCAGTATGTGTTTCCCCCCACCAGACGGTGAACCCCTTCCTGGGGAGATAGCATGTGTTACCCACATTTGTGGCTCCCTCACTCCACCCCCACCCCATCCCCATCCTTAGAACATCGCCTAATACCCAGCCAATCTAGATGCTTTGTTATAACTTCCAGTTCATAAAAGGAAACGCTGCGCTTGTCGTGTTTATCTTCAAAGCGAACCTCATCCTAACGGAGCGGTTTTCTGCATTCGCCCTGAACACACGTCCCAGCGTTCTCGCTGCTCCGAGGGAGGCAGCGAGCTGGTGGCAGCGGTGGCGCTGGCGGTGGCGCCGCCCTTACCTGCATCCCTCTCATCCTCTGGAAGCGGGCGATGGTGTCGCTGATGGTGTACACGCGCACGTGGCCCATGTGCAGCTTGCCCGAGGGGTAGGGGAACATGGAGAGTACATAGAACTTGGGCTTCGATTTCTAGGAAAGAAGGAAGGAGAACGATGAGGGTTATTTATTACTAAGCACTTCCTGGGGACCTGCTTGCACATGACAGTGGGCACTTTCCTCAAGGAAACTGTTTAACACTATAAAATGTCTGGCCAAAACCAGTTTGGCTCAGTGGATAGAGCGTCGGCCTGCGGATTGAAAAGTCCCAGGTTCGATTCTGGTCAAGGGCATGTACCTTGGTTGCGGGCACATCCCCAACAGGCAGCTGATCGATGATTCTCTCTCATCGATGTTTCTAACTCTCTATCCCTCTCCCTTCCTCTCTGTAAAAAAATCAATAAATTGAAAAAAAAATTACCGTCTTTAAGAAGAAAAGTGACAGATAATCCTCTCAGCTTGTAAACAAGGCTCTCAAAGGAGGAACAAGATCTCTGGAAATAAGCGAACTATCCTCCCTACTCATTTTTAGGGAATGTGTTAAAGAGCTGTTAGAAGAGTTCTTTCTTTATTTTTTTTAAATATATTTTTATTGATTTCAGAGAGGAAGGGAGAAGGAGAGCTAGAAACATCAATGATAAGAGAGAATTACTGATCAGCTGCCTCCTGCATCCCCCACTGGGGATAAAGCCTACAACCTGGGCCTGTGCCCTGACCAGGAATCAAACGGTGACCTTATAGTTCATAGGTCAACACTCAACCACTGAGCCACACTGGCTGGGCCAAAGTTCTTGGGACCCGAAAAAAACACACAAGAAAACCATTGCTGTAAAATATTTCTAGTTTTTCATGGTGAAGTTTTTACATTAAACCTGTTTTTCTTTTGTTATCATCACCTTGTTTTTATTATAGTAATATATTGGATATTATGTTTAACAATCAATCTTGCCCCAAACATTTTTCACATATAACGTCTTCATTAGCATCTCCTTTTTGTATGTTTGTTTAAACAAAGCTTTAATTTATGTAAAAACGAGTGATTCATTATATAGTAGCTAAGCCCAACACCAAAACTGAGTTTATAGAAGATATATAGAAAAGTACTGCAAGCAAAAGCTTTTAATATTCATGGATATTTTTATTGCAGAGAAGGTACTCAGCTTACTGCCTGCCCTGCCTTTCGCTTTCAGTGTGAATTAAGTCATTTTCTTCTGTGACAAAGAAATGCAGTCTAACCTCTGTGGGTGGAAAGAAGAGAAGGAATTATGGGAGTTTATGTTATAACCAAGCAGGAATGTAATTGAAAGGGAAATTTTCATAATTATATAAAAGTTAAGAATTTAAACCTTTAAAGAAAATTAAGATTTTAAGCAATAAGGAAAAGACGGTGTTTATAAATAGGTCCTATTCTTTTTGCCAGCTTCTCACATCAGGAGAGAGATAATTTCGGTCTCTTTAGAGACCTGGCTCGGAGCTGGGAGGAAGGGAGGATGGCAGAGAGAAGGAGCACTCAACAGAAACCTGGAGCCCTAGTTCTGGTCCCAGCTTTGCCACTGGCTGGGAGACCTTAGGCCAATTCCTTTGTCTTTCTGGGCTCAGTTTACAATCTGTAAATCAAAGGTGAGCTCAGTGGTTAGAGCACCGGACCTTGGATCCAAGGGGAGGTGGGGTAGAGGAAACTCAGGCTTGAATTCCTGGTCAAGGGCATGCACCTCAGTTATAGGTTCCCCAGCCCAGTAGGGGAGCATGTTGGAGGCAGCCAATCAATGTGTGTGTGTGTCTCTCCCTCTCCTCCTTCCCCTCCACTCTCTCTAAAAATCAATGGAAAAGATATCCTTGGGTCCGGCTGGCATGGCTCAGTGAACCAAGAGGTCACCTGAGATTCCCGGTCAGGGCACATGCCCGTTTCTGGGCTCAATCCCCAGTGTGGGATGGGCAGGAAGCAGCAACCAATCAGTGATTCTCACTCATCTTTGATGTTTCTATCTCTCTTCCTCTCAGAAATCAGTAAAAATAGATATATTTTTAAAAGATGACTGGGTCTGAATCCTGGCTCTGCCACAGGTGAGTTGTGCATCTGGGCAAATTGCCAAACCTCCCTCCGAGCCTCAGTTTCCTTATCCCTAAGCTGAGGATAATACCTCCCCCAGGGTTATTTCAGGATTAAATGAGAAAATAAATGGACAGATGGTGCCTGACACACAGTAATATGCTTATTAAATCGAAGTTCTAATTAGGATGATGATAATTAGGATGACGATGGCAAAATATTCAACTTTCAGAAAATCATTTGGGTGGGTTTCAACTGTATCTCCGGCTACAGGGCGGTCCCTGCTAAATGCTCCCGAATCCTCCGGCATCAGCAGTATTTCAGTTCCTGACGAGACGCACCACACGTGTTCTCCCCCTGTACCTTTCATTTACACACACTTCAGCCACATTTCCCCATTTGATTTTCAAAACAATCCTGTGAGATAAATAATGTGAGGAATGTGAGGATCAAGGAGGTTCACAATGTTGCCAAGTTCGCGTGAATTCTGGAGCAGAGCCAGTCCTTTACTGCGAGGCTTCAGACCCTCGCCAGGTGCTCTCTCCACTGCACCACCCCCCTCAAACCCGACAGAGTGCCAGGGCCCATCCACAATATCTCCAAAGCTATCCACCCAATTATTGGAACACTGGAGGCCCAGGGTACGAATTCGTGCACAGGTGGGGTCCAGCAGGGCATATCAGGCTGGGCTGGCCAGGGGGAGGGGCCAGGGAGTGGTTGGCTGGCCAGTTCCACCCCCATCAAAGTGGGGGGCCAATCGTGGGTGAGGCCAGACAGGAGGAGGGGCCACAGGCGGTTGGCCAGCAGGCCTTGCCCCCGGTCAAACTTCCAGATGAGGGGACAATTTGCATATTATATAGAATAGTTTATTTTGATCCACTTAATTTTTTTAAAACCATATGCCTAAGAATGAGATGTCACAAAATCAGTAAACTATTAACTTCAACATGTTTGAAAGTCACTAAGTTATAATCTAAACCAAAAGCAGTTTAAGGTCCTTATTTAGAATTAAACTGCACCCTGCCCAGCTGGTGTGGCTCAGTGGTTGAGCAGCAACCTATGAACCAGGAGGTCATGGTTTGATTCATGGTCAGGGCAGCACATGCCCAGGTTGCAGGCTCAATCCCCAGTGTGGGGCGTGTAGGAAGCAACCGATCAATGATTCTCTCTCATCATTGATATTTCTATTCTTCTTTCCCTCTCCTTTCCTCTCTGAAATAAAGAAAAAAAATATATATATATTTTTAATATATTTTATTAATTTTTTACAGAAAGGAAGGAGAGGGATAGAGAGTTACAAACATCAATGAGAGAGAAATATCGATCAGCTGCCTCTTGCACACCCACTCTGGGGATGTGCACGTAACCAAGGTACATGCCTTTGACCAGAATTGAACCTGGGACCTCTCAGTCCTCAGGCCGACGCTCTATCCACTGAGCCAAACCTGCTTCGGCAAGAAAAAAATTTTTTTAAGAAAACTAATTAAACCGCTTCCTAAGATTTGTTTCCAAAATATATTAAGTTCGATTAGTCTGATCATGTTGCCAGGAAGACTTGTCACTTCCTAATGAGTAAGAGTTAGACTTGCATTGCACATTTACACATTACCTTCAAACCTTCCTTTTGTCATTTCACTTGTTAAATGCTATGCCTTTCTCAACGTCAGACTTTCTCACCAGAGGTAATGGCTAACGCATCTGAGCCTGGTACCCAGCAGGCTGGCCTCCCAGAGAAGCAGCCAGCCTCCGGCTCCAGCCAAGCACTCCAGACAATTATTGTAATTCAGGTAGAGCCTGGGCTGGTGCATCTGGACCAGAAGCCCCGGGTCCACTAACTCGTACGGCTGCTAATGCCGGGTCAGACCCCAGCCCCAGGTCATACCAGGGAAGGGCTGGTACCTCCCAAACCATGGTGCTGGGGTGACAGAACAGGGTTGGAGGCCAGGGCCATGCTGGGGGAGGGGAAGGCTGAGGGGCCCAGGGGCCACTTCTGGAGTCTCATGTCTGGCCCTGCCAGAACCCTCTGTGCCGCCCCACTCTGCAACGGGCCAGGAGGAACCTGGCGCCTGCTGTGGCTCCTGTCTAGACGAGTTTCCAGTAAATGCTGCTCCACACTGAGTCTCTTCTAGGCACTAGCCTTGTTTCATTACATCTACCCTCCCAAGCGTCCCAGGGAGCAGCGGGCACTGTTACTATCACTGTCCACTTTAGATAAGAAAACGGAAGCACAGAGAGATTCAGTCATTTGCTTCGAGATCACATCTATGTAAGAAAAGCCTAAGCGATCTTTACGGCGGGACAACCAGAATGACCGGTCGCTATGATGCACACTGACCACCAGGGGGCAGATGCTCAATGCAAGAACTGCCCCCTGGGGGCCAGTGTGCTCCCACGGGGGGGGGGGGCCAGTGTGCTCCCACGGGGGGAGGGCCACTCAGCCAGAAACTGGGCTCAGGGCTGTTGAGCCCAGCGGTGGTGGGAGCCTCTCCCGCCTCCACGGCAGTGCCGAGGAGCAGCGAGCCGAGCGGGAAAGAGCAGAGAGCAGGTGGGCGGTAAGAAGCGAGGGCTCCCAGACTGCGAGAGGGATGTCCGCTGAGGGCTCCCGGACTACGAGAGGGCGAAGGCTGGGCTGAGGAATCCCGCCCTACTGGCGCACAAATTCTGTGCACCGTGCCTCTAGGACTTAATAATTTGAACCGGGGAGCCTAACCTCAGAGTCCAAGCCCTTAACCCCTCTTCTCTACCCTTTGAGAATCGCCCATGATACTCACATCAGCTTCAGAAGTTTTGGAGGCCTCTTCTTTTATCCGTGAATGCCACCATTTCTCAACGTCCTTTCTCGTCTGCAGCGTATACTCTTTCGTCCACTGGCCCGTGGCACTGTAAATTCCTCTTTGACATCCCGGAATGACTCTCCTTCCCCAACCGAGCACATCTGGCCCTCCCTTTAGCTGCCTTTTCAGAAGAGAGACACAGAAACCCAGTCTCTGCCGCACAGAAGCCATTCTTCAGCAGGTGGGAGGCCCTGAAAGAGGGGAGGAAGCACACTGGTGAGCGCCTGGGACCCCTCCTGCGCCTGGCCTTCCACTCAGCACAGCCCAGGGCTCCCTGCCCCCTCGCAGGCTTTCCTCTTACTCTTCGGATGATTTCTCTCCCTGAAAAGGATGTCCCCAGCCCCTTGTCCGTGACCACTGGGTAGGCTTATATGCATGCATGGGATGGGAATCGGGGGATGAGGACCACCTTAGTCAATAAAGAAATTTTTTTTTAAATGAGTAGAGGAAAAAAGAGAAGAGTAAATACAAATGGCTAATAAATATATGAAAAGGATCAACTTTACAATTAATCAAAAATGCCAATTAAAACAACAATGAAAATAGTTTGCTTATCAGGTTGGCAAAAATCTGTTAAACCAAAAAGTGCGTGGGCAGTGCCCTCGGCGGGCCCGGATCGAGTGTTTTGGACGGAACGGACGCAGGGATGCCCCTTCTTCCAGCCTCCAGTCACCCTCCTGCGTCTCATCCAGTCACCACCTTCAGAACCACCTCCGGGACCAGCCGACACACCGGGTTTTTTCCTACCTTAACTTTTATTGCCGAATAACCCTGAGCTCCCAGATTCATCAGAATTATTCCACCGAGGTGGAGGCTGCGGTCAACGCCCTGGCCAGCCCGCACCTGCAGGCTGGGCCTCCTCACCTGCCTCTCTCTGGGCTTCTAGTTCAACCCTGACGATGTGGCTCTCGAGGTCCATGAGGCTCTCGAGGGCGTGGGCCACTTCTGTGAGTTGGCGGAAAAGAAGCACGAGTGGGCAAAGCCCAGGACGCCATGGAAACCGCCCTGGCCTGGAGAGGAACTGAAGCAGGCCCTTGTCGAGAAGCAGGCCCTGGGTTCTACCTGCACAGACCCTCATCTCTGCGACTTCCTGAAGACCACCTCCTGGATGAGGAGGTGCGACTCATCAAGAAGATGGGCGACACCTGACTCACCTCCGCAGGCTGGCCGGCCCCAGGCTGGGCTGGGCGAGGATCTCTTCAAAAGGCTCACCCTCACGCATGGAGGGCTCACCCTCAGGCATGACTAGGGGCCTTTGAGAGGCCCCTCTGCAGCTCCTGGTGTCTGGCTTTTATCTGAGCCTCTTACCAAAACTACCCGCCATTCTTTTAACCACGCTGAAGCCCTCTCCCATGCACTGGACCAAATGAAACTAGAAAGCTTTTTGCAGGAAAAAGAAATGTGCGTGTGGCTCAGTGGTTGAGCATTGACCTATGAACCAGGAGGTCACGGCTCAATTCCCATTCAGGGCACATGCCTGGGTTGTGGACATGTGTGGGGCATACAGGAGGCAGCTGATCAATGATTCTCTCATCACTGATGTTTCTCTCTCTCTCTCTTCCCTTCCTCTGAAATCAATAAATGTGCATTTTTATACAGTGCTGGTGGGTATGTAAATTGATTCTACCTCCCTGGGGAGCAATACGGGAAAATGTGTTAAGACTCAAAGAAAAGTTCAGGCCCTTTGTGTTAGAGGGTCCTCAAGACTCAGCACGTAGTATATACTCAGGACTATGATTTCTTTTTTAATACTTCGTTCCTCTTCTTTTTTTAAAAATATATTTTTATTGATTTCAGAAAGGAAGAAAGAGGGAGAAAGAGTGAGAAAGAGAAACATCAAGATGAGAGAGAAACATTGATCGGCTGCCTCCTGCACACCCCACACTGGGAATTGAACCCACAACCCGGGCAATTGCCCTGACTTGGAATCGAAGTAGGACTTCCTGGTTCATAGGTCGATGCTCAACCACTGAGCAACACCAGCTGAGCAGGGCTGTGATTTCTTATAGAACTTTCTGGAGCTCAGCCAAGTTCCCTTCCTTTACTTCCCACTTGCCACCAAAGCCCTGATGGGCATTGCCTCCTGCTGACCAGGACAGCCATTTTGTTAGAGGACTATGCCCACAGGGTAAGTGTGAAAGGTGTGTGGCTGAGTGTTGCATTTATGATCAGCTAGGCACCTTTCTTCCTCATCTGTCTCATCCAGTTCTTTACCCAGATGTCTGGAATCTTGTCTCTTCTTCCACCACATCCCGTGATCCTCCCAGCCTCCCTTGGGGCTTAGGGTTCAGTGGGGGTAGTGGCATGTTCCCTTGGAGGGAGATGCCTGAGAACTGGACCCAAACTGACAACCCTTTATGGGCAGAGAAACCTAGAAGAAGACAGGCAAAGCAACAGGACACGGAGGAGAAGCGTGTGAGGGCATTTGGGTGCGTCCAAAAGAAGGTGTGTGCGCATGCACCTGGGAAAATGAGCCTGAATGGACCACGTTTGGAGACCAGATATACTACTATTACTAATAAGGTAGATCTGGGTTTTCGCAGCTACCAATCTCCTGTGGGACCTCGGGAGAATTAGTATTTCGTGTCTGGAACCTCAGTTTTTCCATATGATGAGGGGTTAAGCCCAAATGATGGCTGAGCAATGAATAACCTGTGGGCCAGAGAGGCACGGGATGGCTTTTCGCTGAGTCCAAACCCCCAGCCCCGGGGCCCGGCTGGGGCGGGAGCGGCGGGAGGAGCGCAGCCCTGTGTGCACACGTGCGCCGCTCCGGGAAGGGCCCGGAGCTGCCGGCGGGATCTACGGCTCAAAGAGCCCAAGACCCAGAGCTCAGCGACTTGCCCAGCGGATCGCAGAGGCTTTTCCGGTCCGGAAACAGCACGGCCCCGAGACCACCTAGCCCAGGCTGCACCTTCCCTTCCGGCCCCGGCTTACCGGACCCTCCCGGTCCGGGGAGAGGCGCTCGGACCTCGCCTCGCCCCGCTGGCCCCCCTCAGGGGTTACCTGCCCACAGGTTCTGGCCGGTGCGGCTCCTTACGCCTCGGTTCCCACCTCAGGTGAACACGACCCGGCGATCTGCATGGGCGCCGCCATGTTGGCAGAACAACAACTTTATCGACAGCGGCCGCCACAGGCACAGACAGGCGGGGGCGGGGCCGGGTTGGTGCGGCCCGGGGGGCGGGGCTGTCTGCGCTGCAGCGTCTGGGAGCGCCCCGCAGTCCTAAGCCCCGCCCCCAGCCCTAGGACCCGCCCCTCCACTCAAGGACCCGCCCCTCGTTCCTAGGGACCGCCCCAAGCCCCGTCCTCCACCTCCTGTCTCCCATCAGGAAACTCTGGACACCTTGGAGGTCAAATTCTTTTACATATATATATATATTTTTTTTAATTGATTTTAGAGAGGAAGGGAGAGAGAGAAAAAAACAATGAGAATCACTGATCAGCTGCTTCCTGCAGGTCCCACACTGGAGATGGAGCCCGCAATCCGGATGGGGAATCTAACCGTGACCTCCTGGTTCATGGGTCCATGCTCAACGGGCGGGGGTCAAATTCTTTTTCTTTTTTATCGTTAGTGTTGAAAGTATTACATATGTCCCCTCTTTCCCCATTGTCCTCTCCCACTCCACCCCCCTTCCACTCACACGGGGGTCCAACTCTTAACAAATGCAGCAGACCTATGAGGGCCATCGGTTTAGTGGCCCCAGAATAAATGGGGGGTGGTATATAGAGGGCTGGAGGAGTCCCGAGGACAGGTTCAAATCCCAGCTACAGCCCCCTCCAGGCTTGGTCAGGTCTCTCACCCCCTTGATACCGGGCCAGAGGATGGTTAGGCATCTTCTTCCCCCATATTCCATGACCTTCTGGCTGGAAGGAGAATTACCAGCCTAGATGGGAGGTAAAGCGAACTTCCTCGCGTGATAGCAGGCTGGGAGTCAGGAAAGCATGATACCTGCCTCACCTTCCAGAGGAGATTGTTTCCCACCCTGCAACTCCCCACTCCGGCCAGTGTTGCTTGCTATAAATAAATCAATGAGTCGATGAATGAATTGCAAAGGTAAGACCTGTTTAAAAGGGATTTTGAAGAACACATACATGTGGGCAATCAGAGGATAATTGTGCAAAGGGGCTGATAGCCTACGGGACAAGTAGAAGGAATGTTTGGGAGCCATCTTTTGCTTCAGGGCTGAAATCAATTAAACAAAATCCATCCCATTACTATTTGTATTTCACATCTACTCTTACAGCGCTGGATAAAAGACAAGCAAATTGTACATGCCTATAACACCAGTTAATCCCAGACCAGCACTCCACCAGACACACGGTAATCTTTCACTAATGTCCAAGTCTTGAACAGTTTCCTGACATTTCAAAATGCAAATGCTTTGTTCCTCAAAGTGCAGCCTCCAGACACGCATGTCTTACCTGGGAACTTGCTAGAAACCGAGAATTTCAGACACCATGCCAGACCTACTGAATCAGACTCTGCATTTTAATAAAATCCTCAGGGGATTCTTAGGCAGATTGAAGTTTGAGACTCATTGTCTTAGAAGGTGTGAATTAGAAAGGATCTCAAGAACACTCTAGTCCAGCCTGCTCATTTTTACAGATGAATAAACTGAGGCCCAACAGACCTGACTGTCTAGTTCAGGGGTGAGGGACCTTTATTCTGCCATCGGCCATTCGGATATTTATACCATTTGAAGGCCATACAAAATTATCAACTTAAAAATTAGCCTGAGCCGAAACCGGTTTGGATCAGTGGATAGAACGTCAGCCTTCAGACTGAAAGGTCCCAGGTTCAATTCCGGTCAAGGGCATGTACCTTGGTTGCAGGCACATCCCCAGTAGGGGGTGTGCAGGAGGCAGCTGATGGATGTTTCTCTCTCATCGATGTTTCTAACTCTCTATCCCTCTCCCTTCCTCTCTATAAAAAAAAAATCAATAAAAAATTAGCTTGCTATATTTGGTCAAACATTTAATTAACTCACCCCTAATGCCTTGGCAGGACCAGACCAGTTGATTTCCCAGGCCTTATACAGCCTTTGGTCCAGACATTCCCCCAACCCTGGTCTAGCTCAAGTTCATAGCAAGTTAGTAAAAGGTCTGTTATTCAAACAGGGTCTCTTAGCCTACTAGAATATCAGCAATACCTTTCCAAAATTGCACAATGGAAAAATCATTAGGAGAGTTAAAAAACCTCTTGTCCCATACTCTCACTTCAAAGGTGAGGACCCTGAGGCCCGGAGACTGGACACAGCTTGCTAAGATCACCTAGATGCTTCATTTGAACTGATACCATGGAAACATGCACTCTCATGGTACCAGGCTAGTTCACCTTCCGGTAGGTCAGGCTGTATTCACACATAACCAAAGGGCCCTTTCTCTAATTCCCCCCAAATACTGAGGTCTAAGGAGCCTCTATCCTTATTTTGGTTCGAAATCTCCTTTCTCTTACAAATTAAAACGTTGACGTTTTTGGGAGATTGTTTCAAGTGGAATTTTTTTAAAAAGTCACTTGCTTTACTGAAAAGTTTCTATTTTTACATCAGAGAAGACAGCACCATGAAAGTAAATCCCTTTCCCTCTTCAAGAGCTTACAGCAAAGACACATTATTAAATGAAAGAGACAAATTGCTGAGCTGTGTAGGAAGTTATCCCATTTTTTATTTTTAAAAGGAAAGGGAATAAAAGCAATACATCTGTTAGTGTATGCACAGAAAGAAATCTAGAAAAATATGCCCCAAACCAGCGGTTGCCAACCGGAGATCCGTGAGGTCCGAAAGGTTGGCGACCGCTGTCCCAAATTATTTCCTGTGACAATTGGAGGGACAGTAGGGTCCTATGGGCCTTTTTTTCTCTTTATGATAAGTTTCTGTGTCCCTTTTGCTATTAGCTTGGGTGGTAGTCTGAGTGATGGCCCCAAAGATATATAGGATTGAATCCCTGGAACTTTATATGGCAAAAGAGACTTTGCAGATGTGATGAAGTGAAGAATCTTGGATGTGAGAAGATTGATTATCCTGGTGGGGCCTACATGCAATCTCAAGTGTCGTTATAAGAGAGAGGCAGGGGATATTTGAGACAGATGAAGAGGCGACATGATCACTTTAACAAATGTCATGAATAATTTTTTAAATATATATTTTATTGATTTTTTTTACAGAGAGGAAGGGAGAGGGATAGAGAGTTAGAAACATCGATCAGCTGCCTCCTGCACACCCCCTATTGGGGATGTGCCTGCAACCAAGGTACATGCCCTTGACTGGAATTGAACCTGGGACCCTTCAGTCCACAGGCCAACCCTCTATTTATTGAGCCAAACCAGTTAGGGCCATGGATAATTTTCATTAACAGTTCTTGCTGACCTGAAAGTTAAGCCTGGCACTGATGGGCCAAAATACTCATGATGATCTTGGCATGTATCCCCCGGGGATACATGGGGGATACATGTCAATCACCAAGAAAATGGAGTAGATGCCCTTCTGAAAGTTGCCACAAAGCAATCTTGGCCTTGAATGGCCTGGAGTAATATCAGTATTTTCCTAAGAACTTGATATTAAAAAGAACTCATTTGGGGCACCTCTTCCTGAATACAAACTTTGCTGAAAGTAACGTCTTCTGTTGACTTTTAATACATGTTTGTTCCCCCCCCAAAAAAAATAAAATGACTTTACATTCCTGAGGGCACAGGAAAAGAGAAAACCATTCAGAGCGGCTCACAGGACAATTATGCTCAGACACAGAGCCAGACCTTGGGATTGAGCCTTTAATCTGTTCATTATAGGGAAGGAAAAAATCCTTCCCATTGTTGCAAATCTTCTTAGGCCTTGTGATGGCTTCTGGGAACAGATAATCCTATTGGAAGAAATGCTGAGGGTATAACACAGTTGTGAGTTACATCTGACCTGAAGAAGGCTTAATTAATTATTGTTGGTCTGAAAGTGGGCTCTAGGGAACATATGTTTACTTGCAAATATATGCAATGTATCTTGTTCATCTTTTGGTGATATCTGCAATTTTAATACATAAAACGTTCATAAGATCCTATCCGACATCTCTGCCATTAACTTGGCATTTCATCAAACCCCCTTTTGACATCTCTTGTATTCTTTTTTTTTTTTAATATATTTTATTGATTTTTTACAGAGAGGAAGAGAGAGGGTTAGAAACATCAATGAGAAACATTGATCAGCTGCCTACCTGCAACCAAGGTACATGCCCTTGACCAGGATCGAACCTGGGGCCTTCTAGTCCACAGGCCAATGCTCTATCCACTGAGCCAAACCGGTTTTGGCCTCTTGTATTCTTGTAGAGTTAATTAGCCCTTCACTTCATGTGCATGCTATCTTCTCTTCCCATGTAGACAGTAAATTAAGTCAATGATCATGCTCCTCTGATCCTGGATGAGCACTATCGTTTTAGATACAGGGGACAGAAAATCCTGTGTCACTCCCAAAATCTATGGCAGCCAGAGAGCATTGGCCTTAGCTTCCTACTCTGCTCAATGTGTGAGGGGTAGGGCCTGTGTGTGGAAAGAATTTAACAAGTGCTGCACGAGGAAGGGCGTGGGAACTGGTGGGTCCATAGCCATGGTAACAATAACGTCACTGCCCCCTCAATATCCTGCGGCGGCTAGGATTTGTCAGAGCATCCTTCACCTGACAGTGGCTTCCCGGTGGCTAACGACAAACACACCCCAAGTAGAGAGGATGGTGCCAAACGTATGCGTGCATTTCCTACCAGTCACCTTTCAGAACAATCAGGATCTGTGTTTGAGAAGCAGCCTGGGGTCCCTTCTTTCTCATCTCTCTTTTCCCTCCCTCCACAGTCTTTGTGACCCTCCAGGTCCCTCCTCCTCCCCCATAAAGGTTCTAAATCTGTAAGACAAGCCAGCCTTTCTCTTCCTAATTGATTGCTTTTCCTAGCAGAACTTCCCCTTCTTAGGGTGAATGATCTCCTCCTCACCCTTCCCATCCAGGTACAAGATGAGAAGATTAGAGGAGGAGGAGGGACTGAACATCCTGGCTGGCCAAACTTATCACAACAACAAAATCACCATCACTCTCACCATTGTCATCACCTAAACTCTGTACCCGGAGCCCAACAGGAAAGGAGGGAGAGGGAAGGAAGAAAAAGGAGCTGAGCTGGGTTCAAG